TCGTGTTCACGAGAACGCCGACGCCGCCGTTTCCTCTACTGTCGCATGTTCCGAAGAATAGTTCTTCTTCATTGTCATAGGCAGCGTTAAAGGGTTGGCGTCTTCTCATCCCAGCCAGGCCGATTACGTCTTACCTTATCCCTCTTTCTTGCGTGGTTCAGTTCTCTGTCGAGGTATCACGACATTCCTATAAATATTCACATTTATAATTTCATCATCCACATCGTAGAACAGCTGAAGGAAGAGAGGCTGCAGAAAGTTACTAAGATGCGAGATATATCTGTGCGAAACAAATGGCTGTTTTTGAACCGCTAAAATCTTTGCTAAAATTTTTTTTTGGAAATAAGAGGCGTTACAATGTGTATGTCTTTTCAATAGTGTTCAAATCTCTTTGTTTCCATAACGTGAAATTCTTAGAAATTTGTAAGGGTTTTGGAAGCGAGGAGTTGTTTAGAGGCGTTTTCTACTGCGGCTTGTTTGTTGAGGAATTTTATGAGGTATAATTACAAAAATACTTTAAAAAATTGTGGTTAATGAGCTGGCGATTCAACGCGTATGTAGGATGTCGTGGGGTCGCGTGGTTCAAATTGTCCAACTTCTGCATCATGTGCAACATGTGATAACGCGTTGTTGTCGAAGAAGAATGGACTTGTTCTTTTGGTCAGTACTTGATGCATGGAGCACAGTCTTAATTGGATCGCCTTGATTTCGTGACAGTGCTTCATTTTTGGCTTTTCTTTTTTCAAGTTCACAGGATTTCGCTAAGAATGAAGACGTTTTACTGGTCTTGTGATTCCATCTGTTGGAAAAACTCGTAGTAATGTCATCCCATGTTATGTTGGAAAGTATGCTTTGGAAAACGTTCAAGACTTGAATCTCATTCGAACCTCCTCTCTAAACTTTATATGTTGTCATATTATCCACATTCTTTTCGTTATAGGACAGAATGGGACCAAGAATTGATTTCCTTTTTGAGTAAAATTAAAAAAAAAGACCGCGATTTGCATAATCCCAATCCTAATGCTATTCACCAGTTCATATGTGCTTATCGAGCTGCCTCATCTTTCGAATAGAGAGTGACTATTGGATTGTTAATACTGAGTTTTTGTACAACCTCTTGAATAGTTTTTGGTAGTTAGCTTATCAGGTTCAGATGTTTATCAAATCTTTGTTTGTCTACTGCCATTAAGCATTTGTGGCAAAATTTGTGGTATTTTTGCTACGAAACAACGGGAAGAATGTTTGCATTATACATTCAGAGGCCCTTTTCTGGCGTACATTTGATATTTAGAGTTGTTACTGTTGCTTAATGACCATGTTTGAACCCATGAAGAATAACGATGCGACTCTTGTGACTTAAAAATATCGTTTAAACCAGCATAAAATCCTTGTGAATTAGGTTTTGAAAAATATTAAATGGAAAATGGTTAAGAAAGAAATGTGCTTTAAATCGACTTACAGTAGAACTGCAAACAATTAATACTTTCAACAAAGTGGAATTGTAAAGGTAGCTCTAGGTAGAAAACTGGCTGAGAGAAAGGCAAAGTAATGGCCTCGATAGTGTCGTGTGTAACACGGTGAGTCTCCGGAAACGGTAGTCGCGAGTCGATCTGGCTTTGTGTCCAAGTTTTGCACATATCTCAGCATCATGGTGGTTGTAATTGTAAAGTTCATTGTGTCAACAAAAACCGCAATCGTTGATATCTTAGCTGGTAATTTCGTGTATTCGAAAGTCACTCATAGCATACTGTTCGACGATAACGTTTTAGACAGCAGTGTGACGTTTCCTAGCAACCTGCCATCCGGTACCACACCTACCGGCTCTACTTCAGCTGTGTCCAGCTTGCCTCATCATTACGATGTTGTAGCTGATAATAACGCCCTTCCCTCACAGTCATCCTCAGGTCGAAGTAGGTGTTCAGAAGACGATATTTATGCTATGTTTTGTGCCTTTTATATTGTGGATAATGTCTGGTTTTTAGAAATTCAATGTCTTTTAGTTTTTTCTTCGGGCTACTTGAGTATTTGTTCTGCTCTTATTTTTAGTGTATCCAGTTTTTTATGAGGAGCCTCCAAATGATTTGTTCACGACTATTCCTGCGTACGACATTCCACCAGCTGAAAATGGAAAACTTCCATCGGTTAGTTTCTTCAAATTACTTAAAATGTTGATCATCTTTTTATTTCAATGTATACATGTATGTTTAACGTACACGACAACGTAACCTGAATAGCAGTCAAACAATACGAAAACAGTGTTCGTTTTCAACTTGAAATCAACATCTTGTATCGTTTGGCCAATGGAATACAGAATAGTAGTTGATCGTATCTGTCCTCTGTCCGCCAACTGTCGATAGAGTGCTCGGCTTCCTTATTTCGCTGCACAGGGCTTCCATCGCGATATAGTTATGTCAGAAAGAGTTCCTTTATTAATTCCCTGGAATTGTAGAGAATATTTGCTGGGTAGATAGAATTCTCTATTTGTTAGGGATCATGGGCTGATAGCACAGTGGTAGTGATGCCCGTCATCACGAGAATAGTGCTAGTTTGATTCCGCTCGGCGCCAACCAAGATTCTCATTTCGGGAAATTGGTACCGGACTTATCTAGGAAAAAATTACTCTCTGTAATCCAATTGGGAACGCTCCAACCCGGCTATCTCAAAATTGCAGAGAGAATTGCTCTACCAGAATACTACGACATTGAAGAAGAAACGAAAATCCTCAAGCATCAGCCGAAGCCACATGTAAAGTTGGAAGATCTTTGTGGACAATGAATGCGAGGAAACGAATCCAATATGAGAAGTGCGGGGATCCTAACGGTATACATGGAGACTGGTCAAATAAAATAAAAATAAAAGTAGAGAAATTTTCTGTAATCTCAGGAAGTGGTGCATTCTACTGATTGCAATATAAATTTTTAAAACCTACAACTCTGTGTCTGCAGGATTAGAATTGTCTAGTTTTAGCCGCAATAATGCTGAGATTTTTGCAAAATTCCGGAACATTGGTGTCTGCGGCGGGCACCGAACACGCTATTACCCTTACCGGGGCCTACGCCTTCACCGGCACATCATGCGATTCTTTCGTTAGCCCTCGGAAAAGGTAGTAGGGTGTTCGGTTCCCACCGCATGCACCAGCAGTTCGGAGTTTTGTAGATATCTCAACATCATTATGATTATATTTCACATAACACCGTGCCATTAAAAAAATAGTAAACAGTGAATACAAATTGAGTAGCCTGTCGTTAATTCTTCTGTGCGAATACTAGCACAGTCGATTCGTTTCCCTCGCATTCATCGTTCCAGTTCTTCAAAAGGTTCGCCTGTTGCTTTCGCTGATATGTGAAGATTTGATCTTCTGTATGAATGTTGTAGAATCTTGATTGGGTCTATTCTCCTTGCAATCATAGGTATAGTCGAACCAAGGCATTCACATTCGGATTGGTGAGCGTTAGTGAGAGCGTTTGAGAGAGCGTTAGGGAGACGGTCGATCGAGCACCTTGCTCCATGACAAACTGCATTGCTAACGACTTCACTGCTCCCGTCTTGTTCTACTACGGTAAAATATTGTTTTTCTTAATATAGTCACTTTTTGTTTACTACGTACTTTTTCCATGTATGTTATGAAATATAACTACAGTGATGCTGAGATATTTCCGAAACTCCGGGCCACTGGTGTCTGCAGTGGGGATCGCACCCTCTATTACACATTCCGGTAGCTAACATGTTGTAACCACAGAATACGTGTCTTTCATTTCGCGTTTCTCAACCACATTTCAACCTATAGGTGTTATCAGCAATCATCCGTCAGCAGGGTTGTTCTGGGGAGCATAAATCGGCATTGAACCCAGTTAAGGTGTTGCTGCAGTATAAATCACAATCTAGTCAATTTTTATTTACACCTGTGGTCCGGAGTTTTGCAAATATCTTAGTACCACTGTGATTATAATCTTAACCCTTTTATTTACTGCCTTTTTCTTTTTATGGTAGGGTATGTTGCGAAATATAACTCCTATATAATGCTGAGATATTTGCGAAACTCCGGACCGCAATTGTATGCGGTGGGGAACGAACACGCGCTGTTGTCCTTACCGGGGAGCAGCGCACTTCACCACCACACCATCCGGGTCCTTCGTTTTGCCTGTTTTTCAGCTAGTTCCATCGATCTTTTTGCCATCAGCAATCACCCGTCACCGGGATTGATCTGGAGAGCCCAAATCGGCATTGAAACCAGTTAAGCTGAGGCTTAGTTATAATCATAATCTTAACCATTTTATTTACTGCCTTTTTCTTTTTAATGGCAGGGATGTTGCGAAATATACGTTATACATTATATACGAGTTATATTTCGCAACATACTGTGATTATATTTCACATTACGTTGTGGTTTACACCTTCGATTTAATTGGATTCAATGCCGACTTATACTCTCCAGATCAGTCCCGTTGGCGGGTGATTGCTGATAATACGTATGAAACACGGCCGAGTGAAAGGCCAAAGGAAGGACCCTCATGGTTTGTTTGTGAACATGTTGGTTCCCGGGAAGGGTAATAGCCGGTTCATTTCGTACAGTTCCTCCATTCTGTTGCTTCGAGGGTCGTGTCTTGAACGCTAAACAGAATGAACGAGTGGGATTTCGTCTAATATAGCAGCATGACACTTCTCACTGTATCGTTTTTATTTGCAGCTGCCGCTCTTCTTTGAAAATTTGAAGGAATTAGATCTATTTATCACATTTTTGAAAGCTATAGCTCTAAACATGTTTAAATTTGAAGGGACGGTGTATTAATATCATATATGCGATTACAAACGTGGGTTTTGAGCCCCTAAAATGCTCTACTGATTGAGAAATTTACTTTCAGTTATTGAGAAACTAGCGCGTTGTTGCGAAAGGGTTAGGAATAGGACTATAGCAGTCTCCTTCCTAATCAGAGCTGTAGAATCGACAGCACCTCATATTTTTATCTTAAGTAGCAACAGTGTTCTTCTAGATAGGGAAAATGCTCGCCCAATTTAACTTTAAACCAGTTGGACCGAATCAGCTGGAGATTGCGGCTGGAGATCATCTTGATTTGATACAAGTTAGCATATTTATATCTTTTTATAAGGCGGCAAGTGTCTAGAATTCACTTGTGATTTTCAGGCACATGACGACGGTGGAAATCCAGAATGGATTTGGGTACAACGACCGAATGGAGAACACGGCTTTGTGCCTTCAGCGTATTGTAAAGCAGTGTAGATGGTAGTAATGTACTCCTTCGCAACTTATTGTCCTTGTTTTGAAGTACTATGTACCCGTCTGTATATTGATTGCTTGTTATATTTTCCTAGTGTACTACTAACATTTCTAGAAAACTCATTTGCTCTCGGATTCTTAGCCACCCGAATTACGCATGTTAAATAGACTAAATCTTGCCCAATAAGAATGGTGTCTCTCAAAGATTATTTCCTTATGGCGCTATTCTTTTCCTGTGATATGATCATCTGCTTGTTTAGTGACTTCATAGTTTCAGTCATACATCTGTGTTGCTTATGTCTTCGGGTATGTCATCTTGTCCCCCCTATTTTTCGCAATTCTTAGAACCATTCTATAGTCATTTGGTCATTTCTATCACAGTTTTATCGTTATATTTCGTGTTAAACACTTACTGAGCTTTTTTCAGTGTTTCTCGGTGCTCTCGTATAGTTCAGACCATGATCTGCACAATTGCACGATATTAGGATTTTTCTGTTTTTGGATGTTTCCAACCAAAGACGTTCGGTGTTTCGTTCGAGTTACACTGGTTTTTCTGATAAAATAATTAAAGATATAGCAGATGTTGCCGAAAGATGTATTTTGAGAATTAAGTGACTTTAGAACGGATTTCTTCGAAAATTGAAAAGAGCATCAGCAGTAGGCGCTATGGATTTGCTCACCACAATACCATGACTACTAAGCGATATGATCAGCACGGTATTATAGAAGCAGCTATAGCTATTTAACTTCACGGGAGTGATGCTAAACAGTTCTACAGCGATAGGTTTGTCCTATAGGTGTCGTGCAAATTCCAAGCTTCTATGAAAGGTTAAATCTCAATGTAGTCGAGTATCTTTTCCGTACTGACAAAAGTGAGGCGTAGTATTTGGCAGTTCGCACTCTTTCCCTTGCTCACGACTTTCCCAAGGTCCTGTGGCAAATATGACCAGCACTGCTTGTATGGAACATTGTTTGCTCTCATAATTGTCCATAGTAGAATATTTCTACCAGTCGTGTTCACTATGGTTTTGGCTGGGAACTCCCAAACGATAGCAAAGTTTATGAACGTTATGTTATGTGTTTATGTTGATTGCTTATGAATCTGCAATTTTGTAGCACTACCGTATTAAGCCAATCAGATTATTCGTCGATTCTGCTGAAAACACCTCGATCTTCTCGAAACACTATTAGACAAGCAAAGAGATTACAAATCGCCGTAGCGTCGAAACATCGCTTAATTAACACTGTGACTTCCTCTACTTTACGCCGGAAAAGCATAGCACGCACAAGTCGATGATGCGATTTCGTCAGAAAGTTTTAGACAAGATCGATAACTACTAAGTTACCTATTCGATCGAATTAACAAAGCCATGTTCGCCATGGTGATTCCAATCGTGCATTCCATCCCTAACGAGAAAGAGGAGGGTGGTGCACAGGTGAGTCACCTGTGATTGCTCATAGAAAAGAAGACCTGAAAATGCTCCTACCTAGTGCAGGAAGGAATATGCTTTTGACCTCAACTAGTCCAATGGCATCACATGTGACTGCGTAGTTCCACATCATAATGTGCCTATGTCGAGTACAAGCTTCGCAAGTACAAGCCATTATCAAAATCCGCAACATGGGTCACCTGTTCTCGGCTGCACTCTGACATTTCCGCACTCCATTCAAATGACGACAATGAACAGCTTAATGGTATATTTCACAAAATATTTGCAGAGATGTCTTCGAGAATATCGTTTCACATATTTGAACAGGTATATCCTAGCCGCTCCCAACGGTTTACCGCCTCATCGTGGCTGGGAGGTGTTCCTGGGTATCGGACTGCGATGTACAGTGGGGGGTTCACCCTTGGCAGGGTCTCCCATGCTGAGAAGGGGTCCGACGTTTCCACTAAGAAGCCTAGCTAAGAGTGAACGAATACCAGGATCCACCGCCGTTCTCGCATTTTGACAAATCTCCCTCTGATCCACAAGGACTGCGACTGCCTGTGGTGCGGCCTCGGGCAGAATTTGGCCAGGCTGACCTCGTGCCAGCAAATCTCCGGAAAGAGGAGATTATGCTGGGCCTGCACAACCAGTGAGGAAGGGCCATTCAGGTATTAAGTATATCCTAACCATTCCTAATTTTGTTAGTGCACTTCAAAAAAGATTTTAAAGTTGCCTGTAAGACTTTTATGGAGAACTAATAACATGATCAATCATACTTTACTTAAAAAGGAGAAAATAACAAAGAAAGATTAACTGAGAATGGAAACAAAACGGTATAAAACAACTCTGCTTTGTTACAATACACGACTCTAATCATTTCTAGGATAACCGGAGCTAAACCCTGCCAAGTGACAAATTCGTGTAGCAAGGTAGGCACAGCTGAGTTAAAGCCTACAATATCCAGCATTCCAGCGTCTTCTGGATTAGCAATGGTAAAATCAGTGGCTGTCATTTCTATTACAATCAACTTAGCGTCGAAGATGCCGGATGACTTGCGATGATCTCGCAGTGCTTGGTACGGGAGGACCTGAAGATCGAGTATTAGCACATTCTCCGAAAGCGATACTTTCGACATTACCAAAACTTCATTTCCTTCGATAACTGCTGTTAATCTGTTGGTAACTAAAATATTCTAAAATTAGAAAACTAGAACACATTTTTCCCTACTAGTTTAAGCGTGTAAGTAAGATTCTGCTTTACTGTACAGTATTTGAAAATCATTGAGACAGTTATGGAAGCGGCCATGTACAATTAAACCGAAAAAATTGAAGCATAAATAATAAAAAAAAAACAACTATTCGGTTCTGAAGAAATACACAAACGATGAAGTAGCGTCAACAGTCAATAGGCAGCGAGGTTATCGAGAACGCGGATAGTACTGAACAACATGTGACAACACTCCAAGACTCAACGTCCCTGCAGTGTGGCGATACATTTTAAATGCGTTAGAACTGTAAAAGCTCGCATCACCAAACCAAGTCTCATTGTCTGTGTAAACCACGAAGACTTCAGATTTCTTCTCCTTTTCCTTTGCCCATAACATCGGGAGAGCACAGTCGGTCGCACTACACTAAACGGCAGAATAACAACGGAATCAACAATTAATTGTTTAAATATACATAGATTGAACTCTTTATCAATGCAATCCACTTAATCCGACGTTGGCCAAGAAGCTATCTGACAGCCAACCTATCCATGTGTTTCACAATACTGGAAATCGTCCATTCGCCGTTGTAGGGCAACTCAATGAGATTATCGGAGAAACCAACGCACTCCGCCTATAATCGCTAGTATCTAAAAAGCGTTACGGGATCCCTCAGTACCTACAAAGCAATGAGAAGTGATAACTTACAATTTTCTCGTTTTTCAGGCTTACGAGGGAAAGCGCTGCACTTGCACATTGACATGACAACATAATACAAGGTATTAAGTCCCACATACTTCCTAAGACGTTAAAGACTCAGAAAATTTTAATTACTCAGCACTAAACATAATGAGCGAAATGCAGAGTACCTGAGATATCGAAAGCAAAACACTACCGTTTACTCGTCGGTGGAGCGTTAATGAACGACTTGTAGAAAGCAACTTCAAGAGCTTCATCGACCTGAAAAAATTTTAGTTCCAAAGTAGTACAGACTTAAGATTGATTGGATAGAACTCTACTTAATTTTTCGTCTACTTTCCACTGCAAATTGCCCACGTGTCCATGACCTGACTCATATACGGTTTTTGCGATGAGAATCTATACAAAATTGAAAGGTATAGATTAAGTATACGCGCTCTAACAAATATTTCATATCCCCGAGCAAAAAACTAGTGAAATCACATGAATTGGGTGGATCTTTGCACGTTTAAGCTTTTCTACATTAGTGAGCCTAGCGATGACAGACTCTCGGAATGAGCTGAAAAATATAAAGTACCGTTGGTGAACAGGAATAATGCACATATGAGACGAACGCTCCATTCCTAAATATGTATTAAAAAGCCACGAATCTCCCTCATTCGAGGGATCTCGAGCCGGTTAGTCGCGAGCCTAAGTAGCGCGTCCCGAAGTGGCAGATAGGGGGTTAATCAAGGGCTACCTTTGCTTCGTAGGGACGCAGGTGGATCAAGAAGATGGACTCCCTGTTAATGCTGCGCTGATTTGGCACATACTTTCTGTATTTGCTAGGCGTATTCATGCATGCGTGTGTGGGTGCGTTCTTGCTTACGCGGATTGTATTCTACGAGTCGATTCGGCCAAAAGCCTGCAATTAAGTGACTGGGAAGTATGTGGGAGGCGGTTAGGCGTCGCCTCCAACAAATAAGCTCCATGTCCATTCTGGGAGAGCCTGGGAAGCTACCCGTGAGTATACCCAGCTCCCACGTTCAGAGCCAAGCAAGCTATACGTGAGTATCAAAAAATGCTAAACCAAACTAAAAATAACGGGGGTCATTTCCCTGACCCCGAAAGTGCACCCAATTTCGCAGCATTGGTAGGACGAGGCTGCTAAAATCTCAAGGCCAATGGAAGCTGCCTGAATTTCAAAAAACTGTGGTAACGATCTGTACCTACAATGCACATACACTTGCATCCGAGTTCTCGATAGAAGGATTGCACCTGAGAGCAAGAAGGATAAAGCACGACGTCATCGGCCTGGGCGAGGCGAGAAGACGCCAGCCTTTCAACGCCGTCTGTGACACCCGCGAGAGGTGTTCCTCGGAACATGCGACAATAGACGAGTCGGCGGCAACGGAGTTCTCGTCAACACGAGTTTGTCCATGAACATCGATTCATTCGAACAACCTACAACCTGAATCGGACGTTCACGATTAAAAAGACGTGGATTAATTCCGGCTTTCACAAAACTCGTCGTTTACGCGCCGACATCAAGCTATGACAAAAAAGAAGTTGAAGCGTTCTATAAAGACTTGGTGAAGTTCTACAGAGAAGACCATATATTTTCAAGGTTATCATTGGAGATTTTAACGTTAAGATTGGAGCAAGAGGAACGTCCGAAGAACGTGATACTGGGACCCACTGATTAGAATGGAACGAGCAGAGTGAACGGTTGTCTGAGTTTATCATGATGACTGAGACCATCCATGGTAACTCGCAATTTTAGAAGCCGCACTCTCAACGTTGGGCATGGGAGTCTCCCAATGGCGTGGTCCATAACGAAATAGACCACATCATAGTGAATAGAAGGTTTTGCCTAACCGATATCTCTGTTGTCCCAAAATTCTACACGAGATCAGACCATCATCTCCTTCGTGCAAGATTCTATTTCTCGCTGAAAGGAGAAAAAGCCGCTAAATTCCAAACTCGAATCCCCAGACCTACTGCAAACTGGGACTTATACAATTCATGAGTCCGCTGTTAGAAAGATGCCGTTGTCGATAACATCGACGAAGAATACGATCGGCTCATTCAACATCTTCACGCTAACGCTATGAAAGCTAAGAGTTCGAAAGTCACCAAGAGACGTCTGTCTCCAGAAACACTCGAGCTGATACGCCAGCTTGGAATCGCACGAGCTGCAGGTAACGGCGAACTAACATCTGAACTTGCAAAACAATGCAGAGAGGCGATAAGAGAAGATCTTAGAGAGAGGAGAGTAGCAGTAATGGCCGAAGCTGCAGAGGCTGGGAAAAGCATTCGCAAAGCTCACCGAAGCTTCGCCATTTGCAAGACCAAAATGATTGCTCTCCGGCGTCCAGACGGAACAGTTACAGCGCCCAGGAAGGCAATGGAGAAAATCATTCACGAAGACTACTCGGATTTCTCCGATAGCCACGTCCACCTTCCGTCATATGAAATAAAGTAGGATGGATATGTCGTACCACCGGTTCTCCCTTCCCAAATCCGACATGCCATTTCGTCGGTGAAAAAACGAACAGCAACAGGTTCGGACAGGATAAGACCAGAAGACCTGAATCCGCACTGGCTCGGCTCTTCACACGTTACCTGCCTGAATGCAAGGTCCCTACTTAGTGGAAGACTAGCAAGACCGTGTTATTTTTCAAGAAGGGTGACCTACACGATATCGGCAACTATAGCCCAATCTGCTTACTGTCTGTCGTCTACAAGCTTTTCACTCGAGTTAACCTAAACAGGATTGACAGAACACTAAACGAAGGAGAAGCATGTGAGCGAGCAGGGTTTCGAAAAGGATTTAGTACGATAGACTACATCCACACGGTAACACGGCTCATAGAAGTATCGCGAGAGTACAAAAGACCGCTCTGTCTCACTTTCATCGATTTTCGGAAGGCCTTTGATTCAGTTCAGATGGAAGCAGTCTGGGAAGCCTTTGATAGTCAAGGAGTCCCTACTCAGTACATAAAGATCCTTCGTGAGCTGTACAGAAATTTCACAACCAAAATATCACCATTATCTTTATTTATATGATCTTATAAACTGATCTTGTTGAGCCGATGAATGCAAGGTTGCTATAGGTCTTCGTTGTCGTTGCTGTTCGTGGTATTGGGCGATGGTTAACATGTCGGCGATTTCGCCTTCCTCAGAATTGGACGAATTTTACGTAACAGCAGCCTTATATTCACTGAAATATTTGCAGTATTAATGAAGACCAAATTTTCAAAAAAAAAGAACGCCGTATTGAACAAAATGGCCGACATACCGTTACTAGTGGGACTTGCTCGCGCGTTGTTCACGCGTAGACTCACCCAGGTCAAAAAATCGTTTTGAAATAAGGCGCCAGATCACGTGTGATAGTGAGCACCAGATTCGTCTTTCTGGTTCATCTTTGAATTTTTGAAGTTTATCCATCACACTTCGAGAGTCCTGGGCCTTGATATTTTTGATTCCTGCGTTACGATCCGGACAGTCACTTCAAAATCATCGCCATTGTACTTTTGTGCCTTATATGTACCTAGAAGAGTGCTTTGACTTTCCTATTAAGATGTTCTTTTATAGGGATATAAAACGGCCTACCCGTTTTCCCTATGTATTCTTCACCGTGTGACTTATATGAGATCAGGTATATTGCACCTGGACTCATGCATATCCCGTCTTTCCCGTTAGGACAGATATTAACATCGACGTTAAAAGAGAGTTCAAACAAGGCAAAGCCACCGAGCTAAAATTATTTACCATCACCCTCGAAAACGTGCGAACACTGGAATGGGTTAACATTGCTGTGAAAACTGATGGTTGGTAATTACACTATCTTTGGTTCGTTGCCGACATCGTTCTTATAACACTAGATATTATCCAAGCGGAGCAAACGCTTGCCGGCTTCGATTACGCTTGTGGAAAGACTGGTCTTTGACTACGCCTCACAAAAACGATGTTCGTGTGGAACGAATTGGTTACGTATGCCCCATTCATGTTTAACGGAATGAATATCTCTGAATGCTCCGGTTGCGTTTGTCTAGGTCGGAAAATTATCACGATGAAAGAATTAGCTCTAGACTTGAGAAGAAGGAAACTAGAATCATGGAAAGCTTTCAGGAGCATGGAAGATGTCGCGAAGAGAAGAAGATCACCCGACCACTTGCCCACCTTTTCGACTCCACGTTACTTCTCGTCTTAACTTATGCGTCAGATACCTTGTCGCAAAGTAAGCAGGATAGAAGATCAGTTAGCGTTATCGAATGCGCACTCAAAAGGGACGATGCTAGGAGCATCTCGTGTCATACAGTTGAGGAAAGAGGTCCGAAGCTCCAACCTCCGTCAACAATAAAAATCAGAGGAGCCGTTCTATTTGCCAAAGTGTCTAAGATAAGAAGAACTAGACACGTAATGCGTATGAACGACAACCGATGGACAAGAGCCGTTAGTGACTGGATTCCTTGGTATGTCAAACGTACTGCAGTAAGACCACCGACCCAATGGTCAGAGTTATTTTCGAAAAACCTAAAAGGTATGATGCTCGACGAGTCCCTAGAGCAAGGAAAACCCACTGGGCTACTCCTGCACGCGATATGGGAAAATGGAAGGTTCACTGGAGCCAGCTTGAGTCACTCGGCGATCGACGGGATGACAAGTAATGCAAGAAATAATTCAGACGCCGCGTAGGTGGTGAGCAGAGTTCTTAACTTAGTTGAAGCATGGATACATGTCTCTACTGCATAATGAAACACTAGGAGATCCATTGTTCTAAAAAGATGGGCCAGGATTTTCGGGGCACGCCCGTTAGTCAGCGGCTTCCTTGAAAGGTCTGAAAGAGTCACACAGTGCTTTACTTTTTCCTGTAATTTCTCTTTCGAAAAGGTGAGCAAAAGAGTGGTAAAGGCATAGTTCCTCACGAGCAAGGTGCTGGTTCGTCGACTCACGTCATCATGCTTTCCACTCCTTTGGAGCCGAGGAATTGGTAGCAAACTTATCTCGTAGCTGCTCACTTCCTGCGATCCAAATAGGAACGCTCTTCGTCGGCTATTCCAGGATCCCAGGAAAAGTCGACTCAAGCAGCATTAAAAAACCTCAACAATAAA